GACTTTGGGTGAGTGGCAGGGTAAGCCTCGGATTGGTCGCTGGCCAATCACACACAGATAACCAGCCAATCACACTTGAACTTCAGAACTGCGAGGCAGACGTGCTACCACTAGTACACTATGCTACCCTTTAAAATTAAAATATGAAACATGGGTGGGAAGGGGGGGAGACTATCAGGGGCCATCTGCTGGTTACGGAGGCAGTGCATACCCTGTCCTTAATGCGGAGTCATTGCTCTGAGGCATGCAGCACACCCTCAACCCACACACACACACACACACACACACACACACACACAGGAGCAAAGGAGGCCAGATGTTCTTACCAGCAGCAATGAGAACCGAGGCCAACACAATGGGGATCATGTTGATTGATGCGTCTCTAAAGAGGCCACTCAACACTCACTCGCTTTTAAACGTTCTTCCGCAGGCAACCCACCATTGGGAATGCAGTAACGCACGCGATTGGTGTGCGGTGCCCCCCCAAGGAATGAAGGTCAGCCAATGGCAAAGCGGCCCACGCAGGTGGCTCCTCTGGAACATTTCTCATGACCTTCATTTGGAGCTGAGCTCATGTCTCCTTAGTTGGCGAAACCTGTGCTAAATACATTTAACGATGAATGCTGACTTTTTTTTTTTAAGACTTTCATGCAGCAATAATGAAATCCTGCAACCTGATAACATGGGAAGCTGTCCACTGTAGCAACCGCTGTCCCTGAAAGGTTTCATAAAAAATGAAGTCACATAAGCACTGTAATATTGTTCCTGAATAGAATCATCATTTCTATATTCCCATTGAATGTCACTTCAGTGTAACCTGGAATTAACTGCTTGCATAAGAGCATGAGAAGCCAACATCTGGATTACTGGCGCGTGGGTGTGTTTGCTGTGAAACACAAAAATGAAAATCCAACCAAAGGAAGCATTGGAATAATAAATGAACAGATTGTGACATTGGTGCGGCTAATATTGACAGTCAGCATCAGAAAAAAAAATTTGGGAAATGGGGCAAATCTTCAGCACGCATTTATGCTGAGATGTCAATGTAATGCCATTGGTGTTGGATTTTTTTTGTTTTCCATTAATGGACTGCTGTTTACAAAGTGCTGTAAATGGAGCAAAAATAAGTCAGACAACAGCAGACAATAAAAAATAATAATACTAATAACAAAGACAGTAAAAAGCACAAAAACGATACAACTAAAACCAAGTCTCATACTGTGTCAAAAGCCGAAGAATAAAAATGAGTTTTAAGATGGGCAGTGAGGGGGCTTGCCGAACCGTTTCGTGGGAGGTCCTTCCAAATAGAAGGGACCGGCAAAGGAAAGGCTTGATGATCCCCTCTGAGCCTCCACTTGGTCCTCGTTACGTCTAACAGCATCTGGTCCGCAGACCTGAGGCACCAGGCAGGTGCGCAGGAGTGGAGGAGTTAAGGGGGAGGAAGGCGGGGCGAGACCATTTAAAGATTTGAAAACTAATAATAGAATCTAAAAGAGAACTCTAAAATGTACAGGGAGCCAGCGAATGGACACCAGAGTGGGAGTTACGTACTCCCTCTTACGAGTACCAGGAACGAGGCGAACAGCAGCATTGTGGACCAACTGGAGACACTTGATGGAGGATTTCCTGACTATTTTTATTAGTCGATTCAAGATTTGAAATTTCCCATTGATGTGAATGTGGGGGTAAATAGTTGTTTCTATCAACAACCTAGGGGCCTGTTCTCAGAATATCTTATCAGTTATGGGACATTGGAATTTCCTTGGAATGTTGTTGAAATGATTGTTTGCAAAGACAATGTTGATCTGGTCAAGGATGTAACCCCGGCTAAATTATGAGACCCTAATGAGGGTCTATATATAAAATGGAGGGATGGATGTGATGATGATGATGATGAAACAGAAAGTACCTGAACCATTCAATCAGTTCACCACTAGATGGGACAATATATCCATGTAGTTTAGTTTTACTTTCTCCCTCCTCTTGTTAAAACAGAGGAAGATGACTCGATACTGGTTCCAGAGGAAAGTCTGCCAGTTTCGTTCCGAAAGCTCTGTTTTGTAAGTTGGACTGAGGCGACCCTTTTCATGTGGCCACGCGGAGACAGATGAAGCATGACAACAAGAGAATAAGCCCAGATAGCCAGCATCCCTCTGTGAGCTTCTCCGCGGCCCAGATATGAAATTAATTGAAAGCTAATTAAAATTCTTTGTCCAATCTGTAAAACATTGTTGTGCTTATCGCTGCTCGGTGTCCACAATAGATGACCCCCCCCACCCCACCCCTCATGCACCCACACACTTACCACCGTATGATGATTAAACCTCTCGTATTCATTACACTGCTGGTGGGCAGATGCGCTCAGGTCTACCTGCAACGCGGAGCATGTGATGGATCTACCGCAGGGGGGGGCCGGCCCTCGCGAGGCCCCCCCTGGACTTTTGTAGCATCTTCGTCCCAGCCTGCTTTACCTGTCAGGAACTAGTGCTGAACTCTGGGTGACTCTGTGTTTATAGTTGCTCTCTATCTCCTTGTGGCAGTAAACATTGCCCTTCAATGAAAGTTCCTCACACGGAGCAAAGGGAGTGATATTATCTGGAAATATCAGGAGGAACAGGCACGACTTCGGCATACTGTGCATTTTATCTCAATGTACACTCACCAGCCACTTCTTTAGGTACACCTTCATCATCTAATGCAGTTGTTCATCAAGTATCATCTTAAAAAAACGAAAACAAAAAAAAAACACTTGGCTCACCCAGTACCACGATCATGACCAAAACTAAAAGACAGTATGGAAGAAGGCCAAAGTGTTTGTGAACCATGAACATTATTTTATCCCTGAAAACTAGATTGAATTATCATGTAGACCGCTTTAACATTTCGTTCGGTACAGTTTGGACATTCATACAACAGAATAAGTCATGGCTTCCTATGAGGACAACACACAACATGAGGACAAGCCCAGATTTCACACTGAGTAGGTCACGGGTGGTCAAAGTCAAGGCCCGGGGGCCAGATCTTGGCCCGCCACATCATTTCATGTGGCCCGCGTAAGCAATTCAAGCATGTCAACTTCAATGATGCTCGCTAAAGTCTGACCCAACGTTTCAAATTTTCATATATCATGTAATAATTACAATGTTTAAACAATCCATTATTCTTGACTTCTGATGTCAAAACTAGTTGTCCATCTATTTGTAGCTCGCTGTGTATGTAATATGTGGGCGTCTTATCTTTGACGGGCTGGCAGTGAGGACGGGTGGGCGGCAGGAAAGTATGGAGGCTATCCAAACTGACTTTGGGCAAGAGGCAGGGTCCACCCAGATTTGGTCACCAGCCAATCGCAGGGTGCATATCAACAAACAACTATGAACACTGACATTTTGTGGCACCATTTGGAGCAGGAGAGGCTCTGGATGCAAATCTCAGTTGAAGCTGAAGAAGTACCTTCAACAAAGCCAAATGGGACCCTATTAAGAGAAACACAAGACACAAAAAAAATAAATTGCAAATGTCAAGAAAACCGGGCACCAGTAAAAAATAGGTGCGTGAGCTACACACAGCCTGACAATTAGTCAAGATGGATAACCCCAATAAGGAACAAGTATAAGGCAGATTGGCCAAATATGGTCGGTGCCATGACACAATTAGAAATGAGCCCATCCGGGATTAACGAATCAGAAAAAAGAAGGTGTCCCAAACGACATCGTTTTGTTTATGCACGGGATTTTTTTTTTTTGCATGTTGTACTTCAGTCTCTCCCAGGAGAAGTTCAACAATTTGTTCTTCTGCCTTGGAAAATAAATTCCTCGGGACCAGAACCACTTCAACTCCAGCCTCTTTTTCCGCTCTGACTTTTGACATTGTTCTTGTTCCAAAGCGCCAGAGTCTTGATTAAGGTGTTGGATGCTCTCCTGCTCGCAACGATTTTACCAGCATCAGTTAAGGCCCGTGTTTGATGTTGCGAAAGGAGTTAAAAGATTCTTGGCAACATCAAGTCCATTCATTGCTATGACTGCCTCATTCTTGTCGGTTGCAGAAACAACTTGTTGCCACATTGAGGTCGGCCAAAAAAAAACACAAACACGGCACTTTCTTTTTTTTTTTTTTCCCACACTTTCACCCTGGCAGTCGTCTGCTCTTAATTGAGTGTTACTGTAATATAGCAAGAGCTTGATTTTTGTTTTTGTCGTGGACAGCGACAACTACCCTGAGGTGTTCCTAATACTTGAGTCGAGGCTTAATAACGAATCATAAAAGTGCTATGCTACCGAAACCGACAACTTATAGACTCCTCCTGTCACTGGCTGTGCATCGGATCGGCTCGTCCCTTTTGTGATTTAATTGGGGCTCAACATTTGCTGGCATTTCACGCCTTGAAAGTACACGCAGCAAGGAACCAGTCAGTTAATTAAATCTTCAGAAGGGCCTCGTGCCCCGACTGGTCTTCCTGCAGGTCTTGTTCCGACTTGCCGCGTTTCCACTCCCTTCGCGTCAAGAGGGAGAACGGGAAACACGGCTGCACGCAGGCTGTCTGTTATGGCGACTTCATATTTATTTGGAGTCGGCGTACGGCTCTCATGCGGCGGGACGTGAAGCTACATTTAATATGAATGAACCTCGCTGTGTTTTTGTTGGTTTGTATGTTTTACTCCATCAAGGAAGACCCAACAAAAATATTTTCTTCCCAAGCGGCTCCGAGGCACAGATCGAGTATAACCCAGGTCATTAAGATTTGGTCCATGTCCCGCCCCTTTTGAAAGAATATGTAAACATAACCGGATTGCTCATTAAAATGAAAACATCAGTTGGTGTGTGAACAGCGCAAAAACAAAAAGTAAACAAACGCCGCAAAAACAAACGTGCATTAATTCTGCATTCTGACGTGAGAGCTGCAGGCAAGATCCACACAGAAAAATGCGATGCACAACTCACAACATGATCTTCGAGGTCGTACATCACGCAAAGAATGTACACTATGTACAGACATGGCACTCTTAAGTCGACACCAATTATTCGCAGGATCACTTGTTCCAGTAAAATGCGGAAATAAAAGCTTCCTACCAACCAGCAAGACCTTCTGCAACATTTTGAAGCAATAAAGAGTCAGGTGGAACTTGACATTTTTATCCATACAAGAGAAACAGTAGGAAGAGTCTTGAGACATTTTTATGAGCAGCTGTTTGATAACGTGACTGATGTACCTTTTCCTTTTTTTTTTTAATGTCGAGCGATCACCTCTTGAACTTGGCACCCGTCCCAGAGTCCAAAGGCTCTCCTCTTCAGAGTGTCTGTAATAAAAGTGCAGCGTGAAGTCTCATTTGATTTGCACAGCAACAGGCCAAGCATGTCCGAGACCACAGAGCCACAGCCAAGTGAGTAGACGACATCGCGCCGTATATCAGCAAGATGGAATTGGCAAGCATTTTTCTTGGGGCTCTATGAATTCATTTCTAGCTTCATTTGGACAAAAAAAAAAGGGGGGGAAGGGGGGCTTCAAAGTATTTGGTTGGCATTTAAGATTAATTGGAATAACAATAGCACTGGTCATAGGGTGCGCTTGGAATTTTATGAACATGTACACAAAACATCAAATACCAGGAAGCGCATTGACTTTATGGAGCACTGAATCGCAGCTTGAATACCCTCGACGGGATGAAATGGTGTAATCTATTGTTACAATCTTTCAGTGCCAGCCGTTTTCAAACCCTTCTGTATCCTACCACATGAAAAAATGACGTACCTTGGATAAAATGGGTGGATTCTGGGGGGTGAAACGTCCTTGGCATTCAATGAGTTAAAGGAGACACTTGAATGTTTCGGTTCGCGTCTACCCAATAGGGCCAATGTCGGAATACTGGTATTTACAAATGTATGCTTTAGAGCAGTCTTCTCGAAAATCGAATGTATGTATCACGTTCGCACACCCCTATTCATACGCCAGGTGTTTGTGAAATGAAACATGAGACCAACAGTTTCAAAACTGTTTCCGCCATTAATGTGACAGATGGTCCAAACACACACAGGAAGAATGGAGATTGTTGTCACACACTACACAGAGTGCCATTGCCGCGGCTCCTTAAATTTGCTGTGCACCTTTTTGCAGCTTCCCCAAAATGTGATCTTTTCATCAATTTTGGAGGGATGTTCAGTTTTTGGAAATGTCACTGACATCGTGCCATATTTTCTTCACGGTCATCATAAATTTCACGGCATATGTAAATGCCTTGGGGAAAAAAAATGATACGAGTACCCTTCTCCCAATTAACACCTTTGAACAATGGCATCCCTCTGATGCTGTACTTGTACATACATGTCAATAAAAGCCTACTAGAACAACTGAACTTTATTTGTGGTTAATCAGAGGCACTTTCAACGGTTTCAGGTGTGTGCTGACACCCATTAACATGAGTTTGAATGGCATCCGTCTGCTGCTGTATTTGTACATAAATGTCAATAAAAGCCTACTAGAACAACTGAACTTATTTGTGGTTAATCAGAGGAACTTTCAACGGTTTCAGGTGTATGCTGACACCCATTAACATGAGTTTGAATGTGGTTAGTTGATTCTGATCATAGCCCTATCCCCAGTTATAAAAGGGTGTGCACACTTGTGCAACCAAATCGGCTCAGTTTTTAATTTATATTTATTTTTTGCTCGACGGAGCTTTTTAGTAATGAGGAAAACATTTTAAAATTACTTATTTTGGTCTCATTTATTATTTTTTTAAAATGGCTGGGGGAATTTTGATCAGGCAAATACTCCGGCTACCTCTTCATCCCCGAAGCATGCTGCAATAATTGCCACTGAACCTCACGTTGTTGACATTGTACGAGCCTGCAGCACTTATCTCTCCCTTGCATATGCTTTTGTTTTAATTGTCCGTGTTATTAGCATCTCAGGAACAACCTTTTTTTTTGTTTGTTGCCCTTTATACCAATACTTAGCATCGTTAAAAAAAAGGTGAAACCTGAGTTTAGCATGATGGCGCGCTATTGAACCGCAGCAATGATTTGGTTTTTGCTTACCGTGTGAATCCGAAGCAGCTATGGGGATACTGTGTGTGGTGATAGCAGGCAATGAATACGAATTGCTTATTGGATGGCAGATAAGGCGGCAGATAGAGCAAGTGTCATTCACCGTGCGCCGCCCCGGCCACCGTGTGCCAGTGGCGCAAGATGTTTCAGAATCTCACAAAGCACAAAATAGATCATGGTTCGCTCATGTATGCACATTTTTGATCGGACAGTTCAACTAGAGTGTTGACAGATTAGCAGTCACTGGTGTTCTACTATCGTTAGCATTAGAACAATTCCACAAGTGCTGGCATGCTGCATTATCTATTATTTTACAAAAATAAACGTTTTACATAAGCGAAGACATGCTGCCATTCTTGTCTTTTTCTGTATTTTTTTTTCACCCATTTTTTTATCATGATGATGACGAATATGAATATGGTGATTATGTTGACAATTTCTTTCCAGTGTCCAGCAGGCAGAGATGCCCCCAGGCCAAAGGTTTGGAGAGTGTGGCCCCGCTGGTGAACTCTGTCGAGGAAATCCCTGATCCCATTCCCACCACCATCAAGGGAACTGTCCCAACATGGATCAACGGGAGCTTCTTGAGGAATGGCCCAGGGAAGTTTGAATTTGGCCAAGACAGGTATACAGAACAGCACACTGCACTACTTTATGCTAATAATAAAAATGGATGGGTCATCCAAGGTAAAGGCAGCATGCCTCTCTTGGCTCTTACAAGACAAATGTAAGGATTTTTCTCAAACTAAATGCACCCCCCCCCTTCTCCCCGCCCAGATACACCCACTGGTTTGACGGCATGGCCATGATGCACAGATTTCACATCAGTGAGGGCAATGTGACGTACAGCAGCCGCTTCCTGAGAAGTGACTCGTACACGCGCAACTCTGAGATGAACCGCATCGTGGTGTCAGAATTTGGAACGCTGGCCATGCCGGATCCCTGCAAGAACATCTTTGCGCGATTCTTCTCACGTTTCCAGATCCCAAGTATGTGCCATTCAAATGCTGAGTATATGCTCGCGAAAGTGGAGGTCCCTTTCGTGCATCCTAATGTATCCCGGCCATCGAAGAATACATTATTATTATCATTGGAGCAGAAATACAGGCAAAGTAAAACAGACTTTTTTTTGTCATAAAACATGAATCAGAATTTCTATTCATATGAAAAAGCCCCTTCTATTTTTTTTATTCTGTTATTCGCGTAGATCTAAATTGTGCATTAAAATTCTCATATGTTAAAAAAAAAAAAATTTAAAAATCAGATTGAATACAAATAAAGTGCGATACATTTAACAATGCACCATTGATTTCAATTGGCCACGATGCACAGATCAGTCTTTGAACTTGACCTTGCTAAACAAAATTAAATCACCAACCGCAGCCAAGCATTGCATAACGATCTCAATCATCTGTATAATCCATAACATCTTTGGCGGAGGTAAATTTTAAAACCTTGTTCTGTTACTGTACACATATTTTGAGGGGGTGATCCAAATTCTTCTAATTCTTTCGGAAGCCACATTGTTGATGCTACTATAAAGCTCTATTCGGGATATCAGTGTGTTTAAAAAAAGGAGAATAAAGCTTCAAAATCCCTGACGAAGGCTTTCATCTCGCACACGCGGCCGCTTTGGGAGCACTGCACATTTGCTTTCAGTTTAAACAGCAGATGTCTGAGTTGGAAAGGAATATTTTTTCAACAGCCTATTATTCTTTTTTTTTTCCTCCCCACTCAACTTTTTAAGGGAATTACACATTTCTTGCATTTTTCTCCATGGTTTGATCGGGATTAGAATGTGCGGCGTCGATACACACCCCTCCAAATGCATTCAAACAAAGAGGCCGATTTCTGACGTTTGCCCAAAATTCCCCAGGAGCTTTTTGAAGTTGTTTGTGTTGAAGGGCTGCTATTCCCTTCAGTCATCTATTCAGCAGGCAAAATACAAGTCTCGAAATCGCCTTGCGCTTGCGAGTCCAAATCATCCTTCACTTTTCCATACACTGCTGTTATGTCATTTTCTACGACGAACAGAGGCCACTGACAACGCAAATGTGCATTTTGTCAAGTACAAGGGAGACTATTTCGTCAGCACGGAAACCAACTACATGAGGAGAATTGATCCTCAAACTCTGGAAACGAAAGAAAAGGTAGCGAGACAATACGGCCTCTCCTCGGTGTTCTCCTGGAAGTGACATCAAATACATTTGCACCATTTCAGGTGGACTGGAGCCAGTATGTTGCTATCAATGCAGCCACGGCTCACCCACATTATGACCGCCAAGGGGCCACGTACAACATGGGCAACTCTTACGGGAAAGGAGGTAACACCCAACACAACTCACAAAACGCAAACAAAAACCCGGAACATTCAGACCGAGTGACTCGGCCTAATGGGAGTGAAGTGGACCTTCACTGTAATGGAAAACCTGCACCCGTGTGTTGTGTTCTGAGGCTCGAAATGCTGTGTACTTTCCTGTATTCTTTTTATTAACTGAACCACAGAAACATGGCGAGATTGCCAAAGAAAATATGACTTGTAGAGGAACTTGTTGACTCAAATACTACGCCTGCATAAATATCGATATCGGTATGCAAATGATACCCGGCAGAATGATACCTGATGAAAAAACTTGAAATTATTTGTGTTTGTATTAATTCAAAATACTAATTAGGACACATTTGACAAAGAAAAAAAAAATTCGGGCTCCTGAATCCAAACATGAGGCACTATTTTCGGGGATGAAGTCCCGGCCCTGCCTGGAGGCCTGGATGTCCAGTGTTGCACTTTTGAAATTTGACTTTAAAGCCGATTGATTCTATTAGCTGCAATCGGATATCCACGCTCGGGGTTAAGAGCGGTTGCGTTCCGCATACTTGTTATATCTTTATTTGTATGTCGGATATGTGTAAACACATTCTTCTTTTCGAGTAAATGAGAAAGAACGTGCAAATTCCAAACAGGAAAAGATTCAAAGCAGGAATCTAAGAACTGTGAAGCAAATGTGCTCACCACTAGGCTGCCCTAAATATCCCTGAGACAGTTTCAACCGAAACCGAGCATCATGATTTTTTAATGCTTCTTTTGTGCTGAATCTCATTACACTGCGCAGATATACCAAATAAAGTGGCCGACGAGTGCCTGCTCGCGCATCTTAGTTTCCTTTGTGGATTGACTGTATTTAATAAGAATATTAATTATTCATATTATTACTTATTTACGCGTTTATTATGTTTGCCTGTGTTAAATCCAATTTCATGTTCTCAATTCCCTGCCTCCTCTATTTCTATACGCATTGTTATTACACCTACGGTACGCCACCGAGGCGCGCGTACGCACTGATGTGTTTGAGTACCTCCTCAGGTTTCTTCTACAACATCATCCGCGTGCCCCCACCCGAGGAGACGGGGGTGAGCGAGGACTGCGCAGATCTGTACGGAGCCAAAGTCCTCTGCTCCATCCGAGCGAGCGAACCCAGAAAACCCTCCTACTATCACAGCTTCGGTGAGACGCAGCACGTCGCCAAAGGGATAAGTAGAACGAATGCATTCTATGGGAAGAGCTTTGGCGGCTGCCTGCTTTGACAGGCTTGAGCCTACACTTGACTTTTTTTCTTTTTTTTTTTCAGACTCTTATTAATTGCTCATTCAAATTCTAGTCTTACCCTGCTTCCCTTTGTCAATCACAGCGCCTTTGTATGGTGTTCAGTTCTCACCAGCTGTGCGCGTTTGATTGTCTCTCTTCCTCCCAATTCCCAACAGTTGTTCGCCTCCAAAACTCCGAACAAATATTGAAAAAGCCAAAAATAAGCAAGTCGGGACGAGCAAGAGCAGATTTGGTGTGTTTTGATATGTAACGTGACCTGATAGCCCTCCTTCCGTGGTTGCTTCTGTACATAAACAATACAATTTTGTGTAGACCTCCGTGCTATTCCTGGATGGCACCGAGACATTTTTTTGCCAAGAGCAAAGCATTGCAAAGGGGTTCAAGGCGCCCACTTGGTAGATTAGCAGTAGAAGCAGAGCAGCTGTTTATTTCAACATTGACTTGCTTGTATGCAAGCACATATTTTCGTCTCCCAATTCCCTTGATTGTGTCACATAATATCGCTTTGTATTGTTTTGCCAAAGAAGTCAGGGTGCGGACTGCGGAATGTGTTCCTCTAAGACAAAGAGATAGGACAGAAATAAATTGTTCATTGTTCTTATTTTTGGGACGTTTAAAGCCAAACACAAATTGTTCCAGGCATGTCACCTTACATTTTTTTCATATTTTAAAATATTGGAAAGACTATGTATGCGCTGTGCTTTGTGCTTCAGTGGGCCTTACGGCAGACTGAATGCGTTTTCTATCCACGCCCCTGGTGCATCTGACAATTTGGTGATAGAGGGAAGAGTAGAATTTAGAGCAGCTAAAAGCAGGTCTAAGTTGTGGCGCAGGCGGTGTAATGCGATGGATTTGATGGAGATGGAGGCAGACAGATCATGATTTCGAGCTCCGCGGACGGGTGCGGTGGATGTCATCATATTTCTTTCATACCTCAGAATCATTGTAACAATCAATTCATTGAATAAATTCATATTACTATCGCAGATAAAGTGTAATACTGTAAATATACTATATGTAAGAACACCCCGCCGATCACATCGTAACTATGAGTAGAGAGGGGGTTGTTGGACACGGACGCATGATAGAAGGCAGTCTCGAGGTGCCGACTCCACAGCGGCCAAATTTACATCAAGTGGCGATTTTCTTGTACTTCCTTTTAAATGTAGCCCCCACCCCCCTCCAAAAAAAAAGCCAACAACTTTTTTGTAATGCATTAACTGTACTGAGTCATAGCTGTATTGAGGCTTAGCAGTGAACACACAGCCCAGAACTTAGCCTTTATCATGTGATAATTATTATTTATTTAATAAGAATCATAGAATTTACAGTATTATAATAAAATGACATATAATGCCATGACATAAAGTGAATGTCAAGAATTCAACGGTTTCTGCCACAATTGTTTTGTTTCAAATCAATAGCCATTGTGCCGTTCCGTCTGATGTTCATGCCTTGGCCACCTGGGGGCAGTATAAAACACAAATAGGTGCATATAAAATGTGTTCAAATATTCGTTGCGTCAAGGGTTATAACAGGATGCTATTCTTTGCACTCGTCTATGGCTTTTCACATTATTTCTTAGCATTAAGCTAAACAGACTTTCTTGGGGCACGTGGTGGTTTTAAATACAGAACATGTACTTTTTCCCAATTGTTTTCTTTCTTTCCTACAGTCATGTCAGAGAACTACATTGTGTTTGTGGAGCAGCCCATTAAATTGGATCTCCTCAAGTTCATGCTGTACCGCATCCAAGGAAAAAGTTTTCACAAAGTCATGAGCTGGGAGCCCCGCTACGACACCATCTTCCACCTGGTCGACCGGCACACCGGGAAAGTGAGTGACATCATTGATTTAGAACTTCGACAGTCCATCTCGTCTTTTTAGCCTGTCTTAGGGGGTCACCAACATGCGCATCCATTTTTAGATTCACTTGTGTTCAGAAATACCTGCAACAACTCTCCATCCGATGCAAAGAATTACAACACCTTAAATGTGTGTGATGTGGTACCTGTAAACAGGAGAGTGAAGTGAAGTACCGTGCAGCTGCCATGTTCACGCTGCATCAGATCAACGCCTTTGAGGACAACGGCCTACTGGTTATGGACATGTGCTGCGGGGATGACGGCGAAGTCATCGGAGACTTCACCTTGGAGAACCTCCGCAGAGGCCCAGGAGAGGAGATGGACAAGGTCAGTTTGTGTTTGCTTTGAATTAATTCATGCATAGAAATAATGATGTTTTAGGTTTGATTCCTTAAATTACCAACCGATTTCTAATAAAATTGAGTGTGTCTACATTTGATGACGACTAACCCCACTACTGACAAAAATATTTTTCGTGGTTTCAAAGCATATTTTGTTGTGCTAAACTCTCAGGTGTGCCAACTCCTTTGTGCTTTCTTTGGTCAGTTTTACAACTCACTGTGCAGAAACCTGCCAAGGAGGTACGTTCTGCCGTTACATGTCGACAAATCAACACCCCTGGACCAGAACCTTGTCACCTCGCAAAACTACAAAGCCACAGCCAAAATGACCAAACCTGGAGAGGTACCCTTCATCGCCGAATAATGATTTTTGGGATAAGAGCAGGTAGAAATGTGAGGAATCGTTGTACATCTTATTTGCATTAAAAACACGAATTAAATATAATTCATTAGAATATGTTTGGATGAGATAAAAACATAAAAACCTGACATGAAAGCTGCTTTGGTTGATTGACAGGTGTCTTTTGATTGACAGTTGAGTCTTAACTGTACCGGGGCTTAACGGTAAAGACAGAACATAGCCCCAATCACGCAATTACATCAGTTTTTCACTGTGAAAATAAATAAATACAATTGCATCAATGTGAGTGAACTTTTGACCTCGTCTAGGTTTACCTGACCCACGAGGAACTTCACGATGACGAACTGCTGAAATACGGTGGCCTCGAGTTCCCTCAGATCAACTACGAGCGCTGCAACGGAAGACCTTATCGCTACTTCTACTCGTGTGGTTTTGGACATGTCTTCAGTGACTCCCTGCTCAAAATGGACGTTCACACCAAGGAGCTTAAGGTCTCCACTGATCACGCACTGCTCATAAATATCAAACATATCCACATCAAAACCTAAAATAAGCTCCAAATGTGAAAAAAAAATATGATTTCTTTTATATTAAAAAATGCATTTATTAATAAGAGAAAAAATGTAAGCACAATTAGCATAATTATGAAGTATAAATTTTTGAATTGTGCACAAAATGAACCAGCCAGTGATGGCCGAGCGGGCGCGTCATAACTAATTGACATGTTGAATTGGGCGTGTCTTAACCAACATGGCAGAGGCTCTGTCGAACCCCTGAGACCGATTCACCAAACCCCTGGGGTTCGATCGAACCCAGGTTAAGAACCACCGTATTACACGAAGGTTGGAGTGGGAAGCAGTTGACCAGGAGTTTTGTTGTTAGTGCCGAGCACATTTGAATGCAATATTTCCTCCTTAGGTGTGGCGCTATCCTGGCTTGTTCCCGTCTGAGCCTGTTTTCGTTGCTTCGCCCGAGGCGACCGAGGAAGATGATGGCGTTGTGTTGTCAGTCATTATCACGCCACGAGAAGTGAGTTTGCAAAATAATGTCAACCGATTACCGTTCGGCAAACACTAATGTGTTCCGGTTTTGCTTGCAGGACAAAAGTACGTTCCTTCTCGTTTTGGATGCTAAGACCTTCAATGAACTGGGCAGAGCAGAGGTCCCTGTCAATATTCCATACGGTACCCACGGTGTCTTCAATCTCATGGGTTAGAAGTTCCACTGGTACGGGACCCGTCAACCCGGCCACAAACGACTTGCCTGTGACAATAATGAACTCTTGAACTGAACAATAGCAAAAAAAATAAGTGCTTGAATACTGTTTATGGAATCCACTGATTGGAATAGGTCCGGTCCACAAAATCATGTGGTAAGAATGTTCTCCTGGCAATTATAAGAATGGCGGTCTTTGGAAGCAAACTTGTCCCAAAGTGCATTTCGATCTGACCCAAATGGAAGTCTTTGAAGGACAAATCCTTTTCAGAATTGCGTAAACAAATGTCAGCAGAAGACAATAAAATGAAATCTGTTTAAATCTTTTTTTTTTTTTTTGCATCATCGCGCCACTTGAAACACGACACTTCCAGCGCGAGCGGAGCATGCACTTAGGAGACATCAAAATGCATCAGAGCAAATTCAATTTCTGTCAAAGTTAATGTGATAGAAATGGACGGCGCGGAGAAATGGCTGGAAAACAAATGGATCCGACTGGTCGATAGCCTCCTGAGAGTCTGCCAGAAGTCACGTCAAAAACTTGTTGCTGTTGAAATGAGCAAAACAACGTTGACATTCACTTAAACGTCGACATGTCAGACCTGATGTGGGAACAAGAGCACTTTGATGTCGCAATAACAACAACAAATAAACAACCGTAATAGGGAATGTCCAAGGCTCGCTGTAGCCTGGACTGAATACGAAGTAGCCTGTGGCGGTGCCTGTCACTCCACCTTTCTCACCATTGACTCCATTGGCTATTTTCACCCTCCTATTGATTCGCGCGGACGAGTTTCACCTGACTTCAGGCTCTGCGCCTCACACAGCCACCAAAGACTCCCTCTAAATGTTACATGACTCACTCGTCCAGAGCCTTCAGAGAAAAGTGGCAACTGGAATTGCTTTGTCTTATCGTTCCCCCCCAAAAAAAAAGATTATCCACGCCACGCCGTTGTTGTGAGTCACAAAGACCCCATTCAGTCAGACCCAGAATGCAAATGGTAACGTCTCATGAATCCAATACGACCATCACGTTACTCTCTATGATCACCCCCTGGTTACTCTGAAATATTAAAAAAAAGAAGGTCTGTGAGTGTCAGAAAACCACCATGTGCCCTTCCCCCGTTACACTAACTAAAATATTTCAGTAAAAAAAAAAAAAAAAAACAAACAAACTGAATTTTAATGACAAAATGTAGGCAAATGAAAAGTGTGTGTCTCTGAAGTTGATCAAATGAGTGTTGATCCAATTTCGGAACGCTCGGCCTCGGAATGCTCTCAGCCGAATGCCATTCTACTTTCGGGACTGTGTCCGCGCTGAGTCAAGCAGATGTCTCATCTTCATATGCTTTTTATTCATCACACAGGCAGGTCTGAGCGGCGGCATATTGTTCCAATTGATGTAAGGCCACATCTAATATAGCGGGAATTAGAAACAGTTCTCTGTTCCTCTGCTGCCGACCACCTAATAAGCATGCTGCACTAGTCTCCCAAGATACGCATTAATTAGCTCATAATTTCTAATCTAATCAGTCATGCTTAACCTCTCTCTGACAGTCTGCCTCTCGGTGTGTGTGTGCACGCGCGTGTAATGTTCAGTTTATATAAGTACAAGTGTGATGTGCGTGTCAGGCATATCCAGGAGACCTTTGCACTCAGTTCACCCGAAGTTTAATTTGACTTGAGCAAAGCAAAACCTTATCAAGTGAGCCATGCATGCAGTTCATTTGAACTGTGGGCTAAAAAGAATCAATGGTCAATTTAATGTGTTTCGGATAAAAAAATAAATTTAAAAAAAAAAAACATTGTGGGAGAACGATGCATGCACACGATAAAATACTGGCTTGTTTTCCAAACCCGCTTGTTTGGGTCGCTGTGGATTTTGAGCAGATTGAATTACTTTTACCCGAGGTTGTGATACTTATTTTGACCCCGTCGATTGCGTTGGAGATTTTTTTTCGTGGTGCCGAAGAGCTGAAACCGGTTGTCGTTGCTGACTATCGTGCACCGAAGTAGATTTGATGTAAGATGCTTAGGAAACTTGGCACACAGAGGGGTTGGGGTTCAAAGCCCGGTCAGGGCAGATGACACACCCACGTAAAATGTGTTTGTGGAAGGGAGTCCGGCGTAAAATCTCTGCCAAACATGACATGCAAGTGACTCTCTGAAAGTTGCTTCTTCTTGTTCAAACATGTTGGCCATGAAATCATTGATCTATCTATTTATTTAGTGATTTACACAGACACACACACACACACACACACACACACACACACACACACACACACACACACACACACACACACACAAACACACACACACACAAACACATTTTTTTTAACTACAGCTCAACTGATAAGATGTGTCTTTTCCACAGATGCTAACCCTTTGCTTGGTAGCTTAATTCAACTCCTCCATATGGGTAATTTTTTCCACAATGTTGGATCAGAATCTTAACCCAATATGCTGGGTCAAATCCTCAACCCAATGCACTGCTTATAAATAACCCAGCATTGGCTCGGTCCTTTTTGGACCCAGTCCTGGGTTACTTTTGACCCAGCAGTTGTGGGAGCGTAAACGCTTGCACTGCTACGCATGCCGCAACACATGAACACGCGCGAGGTGACTGAATTTGCACGCAGGCGTGTCTCTCCTGATTTGAATGCCGACACTCATCTCATCTGACCCACAAGAAGTCTTAACTGTTATCGCCATCATTATTTCCCCCCGCGAAGGCATCACGATACGTTCCATATTCAGCATATTAGCCACACTTGTCAGAAGCATCACGGGCAGGCTCCCCTCGATGCTGAAGCCGACGTGCTCACACACGCGCACGCACGCGTGCATGCACAAACACACACTTAGTCTATTTATCTTCAGCGTCTCCATCAACCGCTGACGCGCTGATTAGATGCAATTCTGCGTGTGCTTATTCTTACAATAGGGTGATTTTTTTTCCACTCCCCCCCTCCCCGCAATAGGATATATGAGCACAGCGGCATGCAGATGGATGTGTACGCAACTCTCTTTGCAGTCCATATAAAGAGACGCACATGCATGTTTTATGGAGCCGTATATATATCAGCCACAATATTAGGTACACCATTTCATAAGGCTCAACTCAAGAGCTGGAGCAAAAGTCTGCCTTTGGAAAGACACCCCACCCCCCACCCCGCCCCCCCTCACATATTAATTTAAATCAGCACCATTTTACATACTCATCTCCTGTATATGCTTGAATCTTGGGTTTGTGCAGTTATTGCAGGAATGATTAGTTTCGGTCGTAACTGTGCAGTGCTCGTCAGTGAATACTCCCCCAAAAGATTTGAACCTGAGTTTCCTTCAGAGTCAACAGTTTGTGTGGCACACATGTGTCATGATTGTGTACTTGTGTGTCTCCAGCAGAGGAGGGCTTTCCCTCCAGCGTGCACACGCTGCTGCCAACATGTTCATCAAGTTTTAAGTTGTTTGCTAATGCTCAAGTGTTATTTTTTGAGACCTCTCGATCTTGTCATTGTCAGTTTTATTTTTTGCTCTCTAGTTACTCGCCTTGAAAGTACTTCTGTTATTTTGGCTTTGATCGTGCTCTTGTTTTTGTTTCGTGAAATTGGACTGTAGTCATTTTGTTTTGAATCTCGGACTGACAATTTCCTCGCCTTTGCAAGTGCTTTTTGTTAATGTATTGTTTTTCTGGGTTCTTTTTGACCAGCGATTTCCATTTTTACTTTGTTGGTGCACTTTTGTGATTGAATAAATATATATATATTTTTTTTTGTACTGATTTTGTTTGTGTCTATGTTTGTGTGCCCCGATCGCCATTCAGTTCGTTCCTGAACCGTGTCATTATGTGACAAAATAATCCCAAAACTGTGGGCAATTGAATTCAAATAGGATTGCTCAATGTGCATGTATTTCTTCAAAACAACACATAAAATAGATATATTTTCACTTACAAATGGATAAAAAGCTCACTATTTAAATATTTTGAAGATGATATCTAAAATATTGGGAAAAAAAAAACCCTTCTACCTGTGGCTGCATGGGTTTTGGGTTTTCTCAGGGTGCTCCGGTTTCCTCCCACATTCCAAAAACATGCATGGCAGGTTGACTGGACACTCCAAATCGTCTCTAGGTGTGAGTGTGAGCGCAAATGGTTGTTCATCTACATGTGCCCTGCGATTGGCTGGCAACCAGTTCAGGGTGTCCCCCGCCTATTGCCCAAAGACAGCTGGGATGGGCTCCGGCGCGCCCGCGGCCCTTGTGAGGAGAAGCGGAATTAAAAAAATGGATGGATGGATAGATTTCACTGAATCTGTCATCTCGTTGTCACACCCGACAACGAGGTGATGTTTGGGGTTGTGTTGTAATTGTTCAACACAGTGAAGTATTCTGTGAAAGCGTGGCGTAAATGAGCAAATTAGAAACAATGTGATGCGGTACACTGCAAAATGACACAAACATAAACACTTTGTGAAACGACTACCTCATTAAAACTGAGCAGAATGATGGTAACGGTTACATTTAGGATATACTCGTTAGCGGCTGAGTGTAAAGGGCAAATGAATCTATCCAAGCAAAACGTATGTTGAATGTTTATTAGCGTATTTTGAAGAAGGGCAGGACAAAACCGAGCGTCGTCGCTATGACAGACCGTCAGACTCTTGGGGGAGATGACAAGAAACTCAGCCCAACATGGCCGGAATGAAGAATTCACAATTTGGAAGGGAGCCTGCGCTGACAGTCAAGCGTCATTATATGAGTCAGTCGGCCGGCACTTTGTCACTGTCACTGTCTTTAAATGGAGACTTTTGTTTTCAAGATTCGTAAAGATTTATGACATTCTCGCCGCCATCTGAGCGATGATGTACAACAAAGTCATTTTGTTTAATGCGAAACCACTTTGAAAAATGGCACATTCCGTGGGCTTGACCGTTCCCCGAGAACAAATACTGTACAATGCCATGCATTGTGCCATAGCTTTAATCTCCCTTTCCGTCAAAGGAAACACAGACGCCATTGCCAGGATATTGCTGAAATGAGTGATGTCATCTGGCCAGGCCGACTCGGAATCCACTGTAACAAATCTCCTCCGAATCGCTTTGATTTCTTTCTGTCAATCCAAAATGAATTTAATGTGGAGGAAGTGGAAAGTGAACTACAGTTTTGGTGGACAAAGTGATACGCTTCATTGGCACTGTCAGAGAGGTATTCGCTCAAAAATAAGTTTGTTATTGCCGCGTGGCACCGCACTGCATCATACTGACAGTTGCTTCTCACACGCTGCATTTTGAACCACTCATGGAGCTTCAGAATGTCAATTACATGAAAAATAATTTAAAAAAAGAAACACCTGACATGACCGCTTTAGGCACACGTTTGGTGGGTCTCATTTCGGATTTTTAAAGCCATCATTTGCAAGATGTATTCAATGTAATAGCAATGGAGTATGGTAAATAATTACATCGGTTTCTCAGTTGAATCTGAAAGCATAAAATAGACAATCTTTTTTATGCAGTGTCGTAATTTGCGGAGGTTGAAAAAGTAACAAGGCTATTTTAACAATGTTAGGAGTATAAAGTACTGCTATCTACTTTCAAAATTAGTAAGTTAAACTCAAATGATGTCTGGATCAAATCCACCACAATCACGTTGCACCACCTGTGCCACAACTTAGACCTGGTTTCACTGGGTCTAAAGTTAAGTCTACTTTCGCTCATCGTTACCATCAGGTGGGCCGGGGGCGTGTCATACAAAACCCCCTCGCTCAGCCTGAATGCCCAGCGAGGCGTAGAGTGGTCTGCCCAATTCCCAAACACGGTAAACTGGACTTCGCCCAGCACGGAAATGAAGTTTCGCTCGTATTTATTCCGCACGCCTCTCTTCGAAAATAGAGCCCTTGTACTTCGCGCCACAAACCAGAGTCCAGCTCACCCAGGGCCCCGTCATGAGGACAATCGCTCATGAATATATGGATTGCGCAGCTGTACCTAACAAAGTGTCCCCTGTGTGTACCTTCTAAAGTCGCTTGATGTCATGATGTCATCTCCTCGGGGAGCATTCTTTTAAACCACCAGCAGCCAAAGGTAGAATGAAGTCTCTCTTGCATTCCACACGTTCTCCAATGAGGTCAGCTCACCCTCGCAGCGCCCTCTAGCGCCCCCCCCCGTCCTCCTCCTCCCCCACCCCCCCTACGACGGAACAAATCAGTGTCGAAGGAGTTTAGAATGCCGAGAGATGAAGAAGTCTCACTAGTTGATCGCTGTGAGCGCAGAAGGACCATGACAAACTGCGTTCATGGATTGACTCAGTGACTGGCATTTGACCTTTTTTTTCCCCCCTTCCTCTCCATTAACTTCTTTTTTTTTCATGTTTTCATTTTTCAACAATCGTGGTCAGTGTAATTGATCCAAATTTAAAACTGGATTATCGTGGCATCAATGGGCCGTTCATTTGGAGTTGAATGAGGATACTGTTACCCCCACTCTTAAAACACGGATTATCCTTTGGAATAATCATTTAAAAAAAAGAAAAGATTTGAGAGCACCTAATTGGAAACGATACATCTCCTCGCTCCATCATGAGGTCCCTCACGGCTTGGATTTGCCTGTGCAGCTTTCTTCTGCTTTTAGGTGAGAGGTGAAATGTTCAAATGTTCAACCCCATGTCTAAAATAATGCTATCACTGTGCTCCGGTACAGCGTTCGGGTGTATATTTTTGATTATATTTGTGTTTACCTGCAGTGTTGAAACTATCATGTGTGTCTATAAATACCTGTGAGAAATGTGACCATTTTGACGGCACAAATTAAGTCAGCACATATGCACGCGCTGCCAATTGTTTCACGAAGGTGTCATTTTTATTTCTATTGAGGCGAATGCACATTAAATTCCGTGTGAGCCACTCGCGCGTCTAAAAATAAGAGTGATCACATAAATGCGCGCTTCAACCTCATGTCCCTGTCGTACCTGATGATACGGTCTCATTCAATGGCAGTTGCATTATCCGGTTCCCCACAAGGGGTCGCTCTTGTCCTTCGACCTTTTCCCACCGCGCGCAGGTGTGAGCGGGTTTAGATCTTGAGTCTCGTGTCACCCTGACGCACCTGAGCGTCTGGCCCTGTGATCCCATCTCGTTACCTGCAAGATACAGCACAAGATTCTGCTGTGACGTGTTCAGCAAACATTGAACAAGATGTTGTGCGGTGCGGAGCGGTTAGTGGCATAAAACGAAGCACTGGACAAAAAATATACTTCGACGCTTTTGCATGACATTGTGACAAATAGCCCTGTGTTGCATAAAGACTCCAGTGGACAATGAAAGATTTTTACAGTCTCGCTTGTCCACGCACAGACGTCTTGTCACAGGCCATCAAGCACTTTTTTTGTTGTTGTTGTTGTCATATTCGACCTGTTGCCTCCATAAAGCCACAATAGCATAAAAGGCTTGAATTTGCACACTACAAAAAACCCAAAACGTAATTCCACAAACAATTCTTGTCTCCCTGTAGATGAAACCGTGAGTTCCTGGGACAGCTCCTCGGCTTTGTCCGTGGTGTTGGCCGACGGGCACCCCGGGTCCGAAGTGGCCGGGACGCCATCGGAATGGGTGGACTGCATCCAAGCGAGTGACATGTGCAACCAGAACCCACACTGCAGCTCTCGGTACCGTGTGATGCGCCAGTGTTTGGTGGGCAAGGAGAAGGAAGCCATGCTGGACAACAACCAGGAGTGCCGAGCGGCCCTGCGGGTGCTGCTGGTCAGCCCGCTCTTCGACTGCCGCTGCAAGAGGGGCATGAAGAAGGAGATGCAGTGTCTTCAAAACTACTGGACCATCCACATGGGACTCAATGAAGGTAGGGGGCACGTGGTTTCACTGAGTCAAGCACCGTTTCCCAACCTCGATTGAGCCAAGGCACATGTCGAAAAATCCCGCAAAAACTAAAAATGTCACGATGGCAACATTTGCGACTGTTTCTGTGGACACAAATGGTTGGATGATTGGCAACAGATTTATTGTATCTCCTGCCATCTACGAGAAGAGCATTTTCATTGTCCTGCCTGTCACTATACATCACCGGCATAGATTGCTCAACAAAGACACATTATCTGTAGCAGTATAAAACAATTCATCCGTCATCTTCATGACTGAGTAGAGCCCGAGTTGGACTCTATGACTTATGATTGACTTCTGCTTCTCGTAATCGCAATCATTTGGGCCAGTTTGTCTTCATGCTGCATGAACGCATGAGTCACAGTCAAATGCACGAAGGCGACGTTCACGCTGCTGTTTCATGTCACTCCAGTTTGAATAGAATGCGTCAGTGAAGTGACACGCATGGACGCAAAACACGTCCCGTGGCGCGCTTGTGCTTGAACGGAGGTAAATATGAACCCCATGTGTAGCTGTCAGTTCTGATGCAGTTGTGGCAATTTCAAGGGCTTGTGCTGAAAGTGACTTCTCCTTCGTCCGCTGTTGATTTTTCCGCCATTTTGTTCAACCATTTAATTTCTTTTTGCCTTTTGATGATTTACAGGATACCAATGGATGATTATTCGTTGTACATACTGTCTATAGATAGATATATAGAGAGAGAGAGAGAGAGAGAACCCTCATCCCCCTCCCCCTATGGACGCCCCTGGTTAGCATAGTTGAGTGGTAGATTAGGTTACGTTCCGAGATCCGCAAAGCCTGGGTTGCGTGACAGCTGTTTGAACAGAAATTCAAGTGGAATTTGAATGATTCCTCCAAGTTAGCATCTCGCAAACATATTACCCAAAGTACCACCTAAAAATCGGGGAAAAAAAAATACTTGTCCAATTAAAATCTAATGCACATACTGCAAGTCATAACATATCATAAAAATGTGACCTAAATAGAAGATTAAAAACAAACCCATCTTAAGAATGAAATGCAAATTATACAAACAAAAAAACTTTACACTGTGTTGAATTTCCTCAACTTGATTTTGTCAAGTGGCTGGATTACATCAAATCATCTGGATCCAGATCCATTTTTTAAAGTAGATGCATAGTCGACTGAAAAAAAATGTATCTGGATCCTGGTGATTTTATGAAACGCAACCACTTAAAAATAGAATTGAGTAAAGGCAACAACAACTTTTTTCAGCATACGTTTAGTCGTTGAAGACCTTGAAAGGTTTGGAAGATGTACAGCGCCACACCCCGCTGATGCACTCCACCCTGGTGTCCTCTTAAAGAGATGCTTTGAGCCCCCGGATAAAATACATGCTTTTCCTGCTCGCTCCATCCTCTCCAAGGTAATGGAGCCATAATGGGATTACATTAGGAGGACCTGTTATGGTAGACTTATTGTTTTTCACCTAAAGTGTTCCATATTACCATGTAATTAGGTTACGCTTGTATTGCCCAATGGCCCTTATGTGTCCACTTACGCGGCACATAAAATAGCACTCTTGTTGTAACTGGCAACTCTCTGGATTTTACGGCAAAACACTTTGACGGGGTGGAAAAAAGTCGCCACCTCCTTCCGGGCATCTGTTGACGATGTTGTCGTTAGCTCGGTGTTTTCAGTGACTTTTTTTTTGGGGGGGGGGGGTCGTAGTTATTTGAATCTGGCTACCTCGGCGTGACCTTTGCAGAGGTTGCGTTTCACGGCCGAGTCTGCTCTTCAGCAGTGGCCTGTTTTTGGTCCCATGCGTCGCCCTTGGAGATGAAGCTTCAGCACAAACTAAGCACAGTTTTAATCAAATCATCATCCGCTGAGCACTCGAGTATGCTTTTATGAACAATCCGCGTGCTACAACACCCTTGTTTGGACACTTGCTTGAAATATGCTCACGCGACATTGCTCAAATGCAATGTGGATTTTACGCTGGTTAAGAAGAATAGAAAAAGAAGATGAAAGTTGGAAGATTGTGGGTGACTTTGGGGAGGGGGGGAGTCTGGATGTTGCTTTGAGGACAAACACGGCACAAATGGACAATTCGTTGTGATTTAGAGGAGATGGAACATGTAGCAAGCCATGTCTTGCATTCATGCTGTCATCATTTAGCCAGAACCTGTCATTTTTTTCTGAGGGTGTTTGAAAGTACCTTTTTCACAAAGAGGAAAAACCGTAAACTATTGGTGTATACTGGACCGGCATTAAATAGATAAAAGGAGAGTTAGTAATTAAAAAAAAAAAAAAAAAAACATAACACTTTATCACCTTTGTTAAAACTGTCACTCTGACCTGACAGTAGTACATGATAAATGTGATGGGGTGGGGGGGCGACATCAAGAAAGAAAAACTTCAAAATGTAACACTTGTACAAGTACACAATTACGTATTGACACCTCGTAAATCACGCCTTCCGCCTCTGAACTGGTTGTTTTTCTCAGGTACAGTGCTTTCTTTCTCAGTAATATTTAAGGCAAATAATGGGGACAGGAGACGGCAGGGTTTTTTTTTTTTTCTTCAAACATCATATGTATCATGTATTACTCTCAGGTCAAAAATCACAGTTTTAATGTGTGCTACAAAAAGTGACTTCAAGATAAAATTAGCAAACTCCCCTTTAAGTGGATCTACTTGAATCACCAACTCAGAAGGCATGGATGAGAAGCCTATTAGGGAAAGACAGAAGGGATAAGGATTAGCTCTAGGGATGGGTGATATGTTTTTACTATTGCCATGTTTGTAAATATATATTTTTTTAATCCACTCATCCATTATCTAAACCACTTTATCCTCACGAGAGTCGCAGGCGTGCTGGAGCCCATCCCAGCTGCCTTCAGGCAGTATGCAGGGTACACCCTGAAGTGGTGGCCAGCCAATTGCAGATCTTGTTTTGAATTATATTAAAATTTGTGCTATTGTGTGACTTCTGTTGGGAAGCCAAAAAAAAAAAAAAAAAAAAAAGCAAGTAAACATTAACTGACAATATGTTGCACGATCAATGTGCTGTTGTGAAAATTCCAAATGAAATGATATGTAAGTTAAGCACAATATTTCATTCTTAAGCAACATGTTAAGTTCAACTCAGTCGCCCTGAAGTATTAAGAACAAGTATTCTGGTCACAAAATTATTTTTCAGGTCAGCCTGAAAAATGCATGTCTCAAAAGAATAACCGGGATTTTTGGTTGCATTCATTTGTTGAAATATTTTTTTGTCATTTTTTTTTTCTTCATAATATGTTCCCTGAAATGGGGAATGAAAATGAATGAGCAGCTTTCTCTGAGTACCCGGCTTCCATCTGAAAACATGCAAGCTTGGGTCAATGAAGTTACCCATTGTGTTGTACGTGTGTGTGTGTGTGTGTGTGTGTGTGTGTGTGTGTGTGTGTGTGTGTGTGTGTGTGTGTGTGTATGCTTGTTTCTCTATATGCCTCCCCTGCCCATTGCCCAAAAAGTCAGTCAGTCTTTGATTGGAGGTCACCCATGAACTCAACAGAACAAGCAGTAGAAATGAGATGAGAGGACGCTACAAGGACATGACTGCAGGTGTAAAAAAATTTCAATCATTAGGCTACATAACTTATACAACGTTTGAAACAAAAAAGAAAAAATGTAATGCTTAGAACGGAAAGGTTTGAGTGGCAAGTGGAGTTCCAGACAGAATTGCTTGAACAGCACGGCTCATTTGTTCTCACAGCGGCAAAAAAAATAAATAAAAAATTACATTTCAAACGAGCAAGTAACCTCATCACGAACATCTTTATTCTGCAGAACAAAGTGACTTTACCATCTGAAAGAGCAGGAAACATAAAAGCGTCTTGTAGATCGGTTCACAGCTCGACAGATATTCTAACTGACCTTGATAAAGTCTGCATCCTCAAACGCGACAATTTTCGGCAGCTCCTTTTGGATCTGAAATGACCTTGAGATAACCTTAAGGCTCAACCGGAACGTGACAGGAGAAAGCGCCATCATCAGGGAGCCTTTTCACTTCACTTTGACAAAAGTTGATTTGGCACCTTTTGAGTGGTTTGCCTATCAAGGTTTGACACCTGCAGTGGGATCCCATCAGTTGACTGAAATAAGAGGAAGTGACTGTATCGCTGCAGAGAATACACCGAGGGCCGAGTCCACAAAGAATGAACTGTGGCCGCAGATGGCACCTTTGATTGCTCTTTACTTGAACCCGCAGTTTCACACGGAATACGGCGCTAATGGCATGCAGCGCAAACACGCATACAAAGTTTTACGGCTGGTTGCAGTTTGCGCCTGTTTTCCCACTGATTGCACACATGGCAAATTATAAATGCAGGCTTTGCACCAAGAACACCCGTGACTGTGGCACAACAATGGCAAGGTAGGAAGGGACTCTTTCACTCAATTCAAATCACAACTCAAAACGCATCTGTTCCCCTTTCCGTTGTTTGTCTTTTTAAAAAAATATTTATTTCTCTCATTCCAATTTTTATCCATTCATCCATCCATTTTCTAATCCGCTTATCCTCACGAGGGTCACGGGCATGCTGGACCCTATTCCAGCTGTTTTCGGGCACGAGGCAGGGGACACCCTGAACTGGTTGCCGGTCAATTGCACGGCACACATCGACAAACAACCTTTCCCTCTCACACTCACACCTAAGAACAATTTCAAGTGTTCCATGAACCTACCATGCATGTTTTTTGGAATGTGCGAGGAAACCGGATTACCCGGAGAAAACCCACGTGGACACGGAGAGAACAGGCCAACTCCACAGAGGAAGGCCAGAGCCGGAATCGAACCCTGCACCTTCGCACCGTGAGGCGGACCTGCCAACCAGTCACCCACTGTGTCGTCCTCCATTTTTTATTGTTTTATTATTTTAATAAACATAATGTAACATATTGTACAGTGTCCTTCAGTGCCAAGAAAGATGCCTTTGAATAAAATGCCATAGG